TTCAGCGACATCGGAAGGCGGGCTATATACGAGTGAATGGGCAATCAAGAGGAGGACCTCGCCCACCAGCAAGACTGCCAATCAGTTCAGAATCTGACGAGAAGACTGCCAGCCAAAACACATCGTACATCGGTTCTATATTCTACTTGTTGAACTTCTATTTTCGTCTCTTTCTCCTGACGCCCCTTTCTTCCTTTCCATTTACTCAGTGCTCACACTTTACACTGTACACGATGGTGGAAAATCTTACGAAGTAAGCTGGAGCTATTTATAGACGCCCCATTACCGCCACCACCACCAAAACAGCAGCAGGAGCAGGAGCATCGCCGAAGAAAGAGNTTCCATTTACTCAGTGCTCACACTTTACACTGTACACGATGGTGGAAAATCTTACGAAGTAAGCTGGAGCTATTTATAGACGCCCCATTACCGCCACCACCACCAAAACAGCAGCAGGAGCAGGAGCATCGCCGAAGAAAGAGAGGAAAAAGTAGATTGAAGTGTACCAGTGCACGAAGTCATCATCAGCAGCTCATTAATATGACGATGCTCTCCTCTTTCCTCGGGATTCTACTCTTCAGATTCCTTCACTCTCTTTTCCAGCTGGCTACTCTTCCCTCACTTGTCGTCGGTGTTGCNGCTCTCCTCTTTCCTCGGGATTCTACTCTTCAGATTCCTTCACTCTCTTTCCCAGCTGGCTACTCTTCCCTCACTTGTCGTCGGTGTTGTTGTTGTTGTGATTGTGTCGCTGTACACAGAACAAGAGTAATTACCAGCACAAACCAGTTCTCAGACTTGATGGGAATTGATGGAAGGAGAAAGAAAACAAAACGATAAATATTTATTTATATTGGAATTATTGAAAATGAAAACACTACAGACACACACCCATTTCGGCGGTGGTGCTCTTCTACTAATTACTACTTTCCTTTCTTTGCCTTCTTTCCCTNGCTGTACACAGAACAAGAGTAATTACCAGCACAAACCAGTTCTCAGACTTTATGGGAATTGATGGAAGGGGAAAGAAAACAAAACGATAAATATTTATTTATATTGGAATTATTGAAAATGAAAACACTACAGACACACACACCCATTTTGGTGGTGGTGGTGGGCAATTACTTCTACTTTCCTTTCTTTCCCTTCTTTGCCTTCTTCTTGCCGCTCTTGGCCTCGTCATCACTGTCATCCCCGTCCTTCTTCTGGTTCTTACCCAGCTCAATCGTAAACTTGGCCTCCTCCTCCTCCTCCTCGCCGTCGTCGCCTGATTCGTCCGAGTCGCCGCCGCCGCCCTTTTTGCCCTTCTTGTTCTTTTTGTCAGCCTTCTTCTTCTCCCTGTCCAGCTTCTTCTGCTCTTTTGGTGTCAGCTTTTTCGGTGGACGGGCGGCTACCTCTTCCATCTCCTCCTCGCCCTTTTCCTCATCCACTTCCACCTTTTCCTTCGCCTCTTCTGTGGCCTTCTTCAACTTGGCGAGGTTTTTCTCTCGCTGCTCCTTTTTCCATTTCTTCAACGCATTACCTTTGAGGTTCTTGGGAGGCAGCTCAAAGTCATTGTCGTCATCGTCGGAATTTGCTGCTGATGCGGCGACCTCCTCCACCTCCTCTTCGGCAGCTTCAAACTTTTTCGCTTTGAGCAGCTTCCTCTTGTCCTTTTTCGAGAGAGGCATAAAACCGTCGTCATCATCGTCGTTGTCGTTGGCTGCTTTTGTTGCCGCTTCCTCCTCTTCGGCCTTTCTCTTTTCAGCCTCCGCCGCCGCCTCCTCTTCAGCCTTCTTCTTCCTGGCCTCCTCCTCTTCCGCCTGGGCCTTCTTTTTTGTCTCCGCCGCCTCCTTTTCAGCCTTCTTCTTGGCCTCTGCCTCCTCCTTTTCTGCCTTCTCCTTGTCGGCCTTTTCTCGGGCCTCCTTCGCGTCGGCCTTCTTCTTCGCCTCCGCCGCTTCCTCCTCCTTTCGCTTGGCCTCCTTGGCCTCCTTCTCCGCCTTCTGCTTGGCCTCCCTTTCCGCCTTCTCTTCCTGCTTCTTCTTCTCCTCGGCCGCCTCCTTTTCCGCCTTTTGCTTGGCCACCTTGTCGGCCTTCTCCTTGTCGGCCTTTTCTCGGGCCTCCTTCTCGTCGGCCTTCCTCTTTGCCTCCGCCTCTTCCGCTTCTTTTCGCTTCGCCTCTCGGGCCTCCTTCTCCTCCTTTTGCTTGGCCACCTTTTCCGCCTTCTCCTGTTCGGCCTTTTCCCGGGCCTCCTTCTTCGCCTCAGCCTCCTTCTTTTCCGCTTCCTCCTTGCGCTTGGCAGCTTCCTCCTCTTCCTTCTTCTGCTTCGCCTCTCGGGCCTCCTTCTCCTCTTGACGCCTCTGGGCTGCATCGGCCGCCTTCTGTGCCGCCTCCGCGGCCTTCTTCTCCTTCTCGTTCATCGGTTTGGTGATCATCGGTTTGTCCTTGCTGATGTTGTTGTGGATGTGGTTGCCTTTGCTGGTCCAGGCTGAAATGGCGGCCGTGGCGACCGCCGGTGGCGAATTCTTTGACGCCGCCTCCTCCTTTCGAGACGTCTCAACGGTGGCCAGCAGATGATGATCATCATCCTGGAGGTAGTCGTCATCGACCGCCGCCGCCGGCGACTCCATGCTCTTCAGCAGCGCCTCAAAGTCCTTGTCCTTGTCCTTGCCGATGCCGGCCGACTCGCTCTTCACCTTCGCCAGCAGCGACTTCAGCTCGTCGACGACCTTGCTGCTCATGGCCAGTGAGGGCGGCAGTGCCTCCAGCGTTTTTGAGCCGGTGGAAGGCGGCGGCGGCGAAGAGGCGGCCACCGTCTCCACAAAGCCCGCCAACTTCTCCTCAAAGCTCCTCTGGTTCTGCAGCAGCTGGTTGAACTTGCCGTCCAGCTGCTCCAGCTTCACGGTGATGCGCTTCGTGCAGGCGCCGCTGCAGTAGTCCTCAGGCAGAGCGGCAGTAGCAGCAGTGGCTGGAGAGGGAGAGGCAGGAGGGGCAAAAGAGGGCGGCGACGTGGGCGCCGAGGCAAACTCGGCCGTGGACCCGTCCTCAACGTCCTTTGACTCGTCGAGGTTGACGTCCACGCTGACGGCAATCTCCTCCTCCTTCTCCTTTGGCTCAGTGGAAGACGTAGGCGGCGGTGGTGGTGGCACAACAGCAGGGGGAGGGGCAGCAGTAGTCTCATACTGCTTCGGCTGCTGCTGCTGCTGTTCCTCCGAAGACTTTACCGCAGCAGCAGCCGCCGTCGCCGACTCCACCTCCCGCTTGAGGAAGCTAATCTGCTTCAGCAAGCTGTTGATGATCTGTATCTTCGGGTCCTCGTTGACGTGCACCACATTGACGATCTTCGAGGCGGTGGAGGCGTAGCGCAGCGTGCTGACCGTCTCCTCGAGGTGCTCCTTCGCCGGGCTGATGGTGGCGATCATCGAGGTGCGCGAGTTGCCGCCCAGACTGTCCTTCAGCAGGAAGGTCAGCGTCGAGTCGCGGTAGGGAATGTGCGGGTGGGCAGAGTTGCCGTTAGTCTGCTGCTCAGCGGCCTCTCCTCCGGCAGCCTTGAGCGAAGAGGAGGAGGACGGTCCGGTCTTGGCCGCCTCCGCCAGCTGGCTGATGACCTTGCCCAGCGTCAGCAGCGACTTGTTGATGAAGGTGCCCTCGCGCTGGCGGTCCTTCGCCGCCGACACCGCCGAGGCGCGCTCGCTGCCCGCCAGGTCCACCAGGTGCACCTTGCTGATGGTCGTCGAGGTGGTGCTCTCCTCCGGCTGCTCCTGCTGAGGCTGTCCCCAGCCTGGTTCATCACCTCCGCCTCCTCCTCCTCCTCCATTGGTCACCGTCTTGTTCTGCACGAGAATCACCGTGAAGATGGTGTGCGAGCGACTGCTCTGCTCGTTGGCCGCCGTACTCGCCGTCGTACGGCGCTCATTTCCGCTAGCCAGCAGCTCCATCGCGTTCTCGTAGCTCTCCACCGTGTACACCGTCAGGTCCTCTACGAAGGGCCCGGTCTCGGGGTGCTCGCGCACCTTCAGCGGCCCCTTGCGGATGGCCTCAAACTGGTCGGCGAGGAGGTCGTGGATCTTCTCATTGTANTGAGGCTGTCCCCAGCCTGGTTCATCACCTCCGCCTCCTCCTCCTCCTCCATTGGTCACCGTCTTGTTCTGCACGAGAATCACCGTGAAGATGGTGTGCGAGCGACTGCTCTGCTCGTTGGCCGCCGTACTCGCCGTCGTACGGCGCTCATTTCCGCTAGCCAGCAGCTCCATCGCGTTCTCGTAGCTCTCCACCGTGTACACCGTCAGGTCCTCTACGAAGGGCCCGGTCTCGGGGTGCTCGCGCACCTTCAGCGGCCCCTTGCGGATGGCCTCAAACTGGTCGGCGAGGAGGTCGTGGATCTTCTCATTGTAGATCTCCATGAAGCTGACGTTGACGATGTACTCGGTGGTGGTGGTGGTGCCGGAGGGGAGATAGGAGGCGCGCGGCGAGCTGATGCGCTTGAAGAGGTCATTGAGGAAGCGGGGAATGATGCCGGGCACCACCTCGCTGCCCATCATCGTGTAGGTTTTGCCTGCAAAACAAAGAGGTTCAGCACTAAAGTCCAATCACAAAAAGGTCTCAATCAAAGGCACTCACCACTGCCCGACTGGCCGTAGGCAAAGAGGCAGGTGTTGTAGCCGCGAAAGGCGTACTCGAGCAGCGGCTCGCCCATCTTCCGATAGACCGTCTCCTGGTCGGCGTAGTTGAACAGCTCCTGGTCGCTCGAGTTGAGGCAGTGGTCAAACTTGAAGTACTCCTTGCGGTGGGGCAGCAGCACCTGGTCGTCCTTGATCAGCACGTCGAGGGCCTTGCCGCTGCTGAGGGCCGCCTCTGCCGCGGAGAACGGACGCAGCCGGACGGCCACCTTCAGCGAGGAGGCGGTGTCGAGGCTGAGCGATAAACGCTGGCCGCCGTCGCCGCTGCTGTTTCGGGCCTGCTCAATCGACGTGTCGGCGGTCATCGGGTCGCTGTAGATGTCCTCCAGCGAGGCGGAGGCAGCGGCAGCAGCAGCAGCGGTGCCCTGCTCATCGCCGCCTTTGCTCTCGGCCGCCTCCTTGTGAGCCGCTCCCCGCGGCAGGTCAATCTCCTCGTGANTCGCTGTAGATGTCCTCCAGCGAGGCGGAGGCAGCGGCAGCAGCAGCAGCAGTGCCCTGCTCATCGCCGCCTTTGTTCTCGGCCGCCTCCTTGTGAGCCGCTCCTCGCGGAAGGTCAATCTCCTCGTGGGCGCCGCTACGCTCCATATTAAGCGCAACGTTAAAGTTGACGGCAAAGTTGGACAGGCCGCCGCTGTCAGCCTTGTTGGTACGNGCGTCGCTACGCTCCATATTAAGCGCAACGTTAAAGTTGACGGCAAAGTTGGACAGGCCGCCGCTGTCAGCCTTGTTGGTACGAGATCTGAGGCGAAGAAAATAGCGGTCAGTGTTTTGGCGTGAGCAAGTAAAACCGAAAAGCGTCACTTACCGCGTGAAAGTGTTCGAGTTTGAAGTCTGTTTGCTGCTGCTGCTGCTCTTCGAGCCAAAAAGGCGCGCTAGGTTGTTCTCTGGAGGTAATGAAAGTGGGTAAAAACGAAGATGGTGATCAGTTGTAGGATTTGGAAAGTGAAAGCGAGAAAGTAAAAACGCCAACGGTCTTCGGTCAGTTGAAGAGCGAGAGCACGTGTGTGTTTGTTGCGTTGCCGAGTCGTAGCCTTTTCCCTGGAGAGCTAGCTATCTTTCGTGCGCGCGTGCTCTCCTTTGACACTTACCCTTTACGACGTCGATGCTGCAGCGCAAATCGCCGCCGGTGGCGCCAGTTGTTGTTGTCTTGTTGTTGACAAAGTTGAGGCGATTTCCATTCACGTCGCACTCGCAGGTCGTCGACCGCAGTGACTTCGAGTTAAGGGGCGTGCTGGAGCTGCCCTTTCCCGAGGGGGTGACATTGATCTTGAACTGCATTCGCTTCTGCAGGAGTGGACTGCCGGTGGGAGTGACGGCGGAGGAGGAGGAATGGATGGGCGGCCGGGCAGGGGAGTGGCTGCGGGTGACCACCGGCGAGGAGATCATCGAGACGACCTTCTTCGGCTGACTGCGCGCCGCCTTCGCCTCGATGACGTTCACCTCGCGGCCGGTGTCCACAGTGGCGCGGAGGATCTTCGGCAGGTTGTGGGGCTCGCNCATTCGCTTCTGCAGGAGTGGACTGCCGGTGGGAGTGACGGCGGAGGAGGAGGAATGGATGGGCGGCCGGGCAGGGGAGTGGCTGCGGGTGACCACCGGCGAGGAGATCATCGAGACGACCTTCTTCGGCTGACTGCGCGCCGCCTTCGCCTCGATGACGTTCACCTCGCGGCCGGTGTCCACAGTGGCGCGGAGGATCTTCGGCAGGTTGTGGGGCTCGCGGTTCGAGGAGGAGCCACCAGGAGCGCCGTTGCCGTTAGCGTTGGCGCCTGCATTTCGCTTGTTGCCGCCGCCGCCGAGGTAACGGCCGAAGATGTTCAGGCCACCACCACCACTACCGGACGACATGATGGTCGGGGAGTTGAGATCCTCGAAGTTCAAGAAAGACAGAGGTAGAAAATCAACAAGTTGAAGAAAGTGGGTGTGTGGGGGGAAAGAGGATCGGAGGAGTTTGAGTTGATGTTGGTGATCACACTGCAGTGCGGTCAGTGATGAAAAGGAGCGAGCGATGAGCAACGTGGTCGGTCTTTAGTAGTGGTGCCGCCGATGGCTCCTGCGCAGATCTCTCTCTCTTCGTCGGAAAATTGCTGATAAGAAAGATGACGTGGAGCGATAAGAGAGAGAGAGAGAGCGAGGCGAGAGGAGCGGGCGCCACACTCCTCCTACTCTGACAGAGCACAAGACTAGAACGGAGTGTTGTGGTTCTATTTGGCCGTTAGGCTTTTCAAACGGCCGCCGCCAAAGGGAAAGAGAGAAGTGCAGTGAAGTGCAGGTGGCCAAAAAAGTGTCCTCGTAGGCGGGAACCCTACCGCAGCAGCTGTTTACAAACACTTACTTTAGTTTTCTGGTTGTGGCGCCCCCAGGCTGGTGTGATCAGATTTGAATTCGCTTGGCGCCGGAAAAGTTTTAGTTATCGGGTGAGGATTCTGAAGAAGTGAGTGATGGCGCCCATTTCGAAGGATGCAAATCGTTTCGAAATGGCACGTACTCTACGAGTGCGGATTCAAGCGTGTGTTCACAGCTCGCTGTCACGTGTTTCAACAACACAACACAGAGATTCTGTTTCGCTACTGAAGATTCTCTTCTTTGGGACACTCTTTTGATCATCATCATCATCGTTCTCAGAATCACTTGGCGGAAGTCTCAGAATGAGTGTCCGCGATGAGGTAACTTTGTTAATCACCAAAACTTGTTAATCACCAGAATAACCACCGCTTTCCTCCTCCTTCTCTCCAGATCGCCACCCTCCTGCCGAAGTTCAGCCTGCCGGGCCGGGCCCGCGAGAAGATCGACGCCTTCATCAGTCAGCTGGAGCGGAAGCTGACCACCGCTTTGGAGGCACAGGCCACGCCGCAGCCACTCACCAGTGAGACGGTGCTGGAGAAGGTGAAGCTGCCGCTGGCCGACCGGAGCATCCGCCTCGAGGCCTCCTTTCTCTTTCGCCCGCCGACGGCGGTGACGGCCGTGGGAAGCTACGCGCTGGGCTGCATCGCCCGAGAGGCGGTCAAAGTTGCAGAGGAAGAGCAGCAGCAGCAGCAGCAGCACCACCGCTTCGTGGTGGACCTCGCCGTGGAGATACCGAAGGGGTGCTGGCAGAAGCGCGACCAGCTCAACTACGTCTACCACCGAAAGCGGGCCTTCTACCTGGCCTACCTGGCCAACAAACTGCAGAAGTGGGTGGTCGTCGGCCGAGGTGACAGCATCAACTGCTCCTCCACACTGCAGCTCGGCTCAGTGCACTTCGCCTTCCACCAGGGCGACCACATGAAGCCGATGGTGGTGCTGACGCCGGCGGACCGCAAGCTCGCCGCCCTCGTTCGCTTTCACCTGCTCGCCTACGCGCCCACCGAGAAGAAGTCCTCCTTTGCCTACTCCCGCCTCGGGCCCGAGCGGTGCAACATTCAGGCGGCACTCTTCGATGCCACTCTTCAACAGCAGGACACCACCTCATCTTCACCGGCGCCCACGCCGCACTACAACGCCTCCATTCTGCAGGACTGCACGATGGCCAGCGCCTGCCAACAGCTGAGCTCAATCTTGGCCGGCAAATCGAACCTCCTCGAGGCGCTCGTTCTGCTTCGCGTCTGGCTCGAGGCCCGCGACCTGCGCCGCCCCTTTGCCCACGTCCTGACCGCCTACTCCTGTTACCTGCTGCGCAAGGGCCGGCTGAACCCCTCTGCGCCTCCCTTCGCCCTCTTCAAGGCCATTCTCCAGCAGCTGATCACCAGCGGCGCTTCCTGGGCCTCAGAGGGCGTCGCCTTCAACTTCAATGATGAGGAGGAGGACTCATTTGACGAGGCCACAGTGGTGGCCCGATTTCGCGTCCACGATCAAGCTAATGATAACTTTCAGCCAACAATCGTCCTGGTGGACGGAGGTGGCGGCAGCCTGCACAACCTCACCGCCAACCTCTCGCTCGACCTCTACGAACGCCTCCTCTACGACGCCCGACTTCTCAGTGAGCGGCTGCAGAGGAAGACCATAGTCCTCGGCGCCGACGTGGCGGCCATCTTCTCGCCTGAACCAGTCGCCTTTGACCGCTTCTTCGACCACTACCTGAAGGTGTCGACGGACGTGCTGGTGAAGGGCGGAAACAACAGCATTCTCTCCAATTCGGCGCTCTTCCTCGAGACGGGCTTCAACGCCGTGGCGATGCTCGTCGCCAAGGTGATGCGCCTGCTGCGACAGGCCGTCGGCGACCGCCTCTCGCTGATGCAAGTCCGCCCCTTCTCCGTGGACGCCTGCTGGCCGGTCACCGCCTGTCCGCCCTACAAGTCCACCGTCCAGTTCATCACCGTCGGCCTGCTGGTCGGCAAGGCCTTCCAGTCGCCGCTGATCAAGGGCCCGCCGGCTGATGATTCGCAGGCGGCAAAAGCCTTTCGCGCCTTCTGGGGCGAGCGAGCTGAGATTCGCCGCTTCGCCAACGGCGACATCTGCGAGGCCGTCCTCTGGCCTACCACTTCGAATACGGCTCAGGAAAGTCGGAAGATCACCCTGGAGATGATCAGCTGGACGCTGAACCGCCTGCTGCCCATCAGGCTGAAGCAGCTCTCCACCAGCGTCGGCCACCTGGACCGCCTCCTCGAGCTGCCCAGTCTGCAGCTGGTCAGGGAAGGTGTGGGTGGAAATAGTAAAGATGGTAAAGACTCAGCAGCGGCGGTGGTCCACTACGGCACGGGGGAGCACTTTCTGGCGCTGGCCAACGGCGGCATGGTCGCCCTGAAGCGGCACCTGCACAGCCTCAACGCTCTCAACGCCCTCACCAGCTTCTCAGTGGTCGACGTGAGCGGCGTCGATCCGGTGCTGCGCTCCACCGAGGTACGTTGAACTGATGTGTTTTGCCTGAATGGAATCCTGGTTTGCTGATTTATTAGCAGCAGCGGCTTGTTATGACAGTTCAGTCGTTTTAATCACAACAACTTTCCACTTTTCTCTACCTTTGCAGGTTTTTCCACCGCTTCCCCTTCGCGCTAAGCCGGCCACGCGAAAGATGGCCAAGACGGGCAGCTTCTGCAATCTCTTTGACCTTGAAGGTGAGGAGAACAGCATCGACAAGCTGCGCTACATCAAACCAGTGGAGGTGCTGGTGAAGGTGGAGGCCAATCCCTCCTCTTCGAATGAAAACTCCAAAACTCCTCACCTTTCCCTTCACCCCCTGCCCGCCGACCTGACCGCCCTCGCCAACCTCCGCTACCTGGTCCACTACGAGCTGGGCAAGGCGCTGGCCGTCCAGCAGAAGAATGATCTTCTCGTGCGGCCCACCGCCCACCACCTGGACGTCCTCCTCGGCGGCCACCTATTTCGACTGCGGGCGGTGCTGCCCCGCGAGGTGGCCCTCCTCCGGTCGCTGGCCAATCGGGAGCGGGCGGTGAAGAGCGTGGAGTGTCCGGCGGCGGACGAGCTCGAGTTCACCGCCTCGGTGCTGCCCCCGCTGAGCGCCAGTTTGCGGGCGATGGGGGCGGAGGCGCCCGCTTTCTCCCTCACCTGCCGCCTCTTCAAGCGCTGGCTGGCGGCGGCCGTCCAGCTGGGCCACTACTGGCGGCCGATTACCGCCGATCTGCTGGTGGCGGCCGCCTTCAGCAGCAGCGATTCCAAGTTTGCACTCGGCGGCTATCCAGTGCCAGGGTGAGTGTCGCTTCAATGGCTACATACATTTAATTGCCCCTCTTCTATCTGTTGATCTGTTGATTTTAACTCTTTTCCCTCTCCCTCTTTCTCCAGTTCCCCCGAAGCGGGCCTCCTGCGAGTGTTGCACTTTCTGGCGGAGCACGACTTTGCCCGCTCGCCGGTGGTGGTCGACTTTGGAGTTAATGGCAGTGGTGAAAGTGGTGAAAGTGGTGGTGAACCAGTTTCTACCACCACCACCATAGAAACCCTGGTGGCCAGCTTCGCCGCCGAGCGGCACCGCCTTCCTCCGCTGACCATCGTCACGCCGTATGAGCGCAGCAAACTGTCGGTGCACAGTCGTCGCCAGCCGAGTGCCCCCGTCCTCCACCACACCGTAAAGTTGGCCCGGGTGGCCGCCAAGCGGATCACCGACCAGCTATCATCAGCCAGTGGTGAACGCTTCCGAGCCGAGGAGGTGACGGTAAGTGGCCATAGATAATGATGATGAAGACGATGATGGCGGTGGCGGCCAATTAGTCTGCCCATTGTTTGCCTATCTAATCGGTCTGCTGTTGCAATGCAGCGCGAAAATCCCCGCTCCCCGCTTACCCTCTTCTTCTTGGCGCGCGCGCGTAATTAGCAACTTCTGACTGACTGACAACTTTCATTCTCTTCTTCTTCTTCTTCAGAGCTACCTTCTCTCCGGAAAGCTGTCCGACCAGCCGCCCTTTGATCTGCTGATTCACCTGAAGAGTCGAGCGGTGCCGAGAAAGGCGCAGGCACTGGACTTTCCGACGCACATTACCATCCGCCAGACGCTCTACGACGGCGAGGCTGCTGAGAATGGTGATAAAAGTGGCTCCTCTCTGAAGACGGCCATGCCCATCGTCGACTGGGACCCGGTGGCCCGCTACCTCGACTCCCTCAAGGCGGCCTTCGACAATCAGGCGCTCTTCTTCGTGGACGAGTACGGCGGCCGGACGATCGGCGTCCTCCTCCGCCCCGAGGCCCTCGAGGTGCGCCCCTTCCGGCTGGCCACGCTGGCGGCCACCTCCGCCGCCATGCTCACCGGCACCGCCTACTCCAGCGCCGCCGACAACGTCGCCCTCAACCTGCCCGCCCTCATCGAGGACCTGACGGTGATGGGCGAGGGGCTGGTGGAGAGGGTGGTGCTGGGGGAGAGGCAAAAGCAGCAGACAAAGTGATGATAATGATGCAATGGACGGAAAGGCAAGTGTTGCTGCTGCTGCTAATTAGTGTTGTCGCTGAATTGAAGTTCACTCACGCGACCAAAGTGAAGACATCTTCAGTGGCAGTGCAGCAGGCAGGCAGGCAGTGCAAGTGCTTCAAGTGCAAAGTCATCATCTTTTCGTATTTCTTATTTTTATATCTCCTCTTCTTTTTCTTCTTCGATTGTCTGCTGTCTGTCTCACTCTCTCATCTTCCTCCACCTGTGTGTGTGTGATTAGAAATTGTAATGAGTTTCATTACTACTACTATTAAAAGTCTGTGCCTGTGTGTGTGTCTTGCGACAAAGTATCAACAAACACCTCGTGTACTCTCCCTCTTCTTCTTCTTTTTGATGGCCGTCGGCTAACTTCAGTCAGTCATGGTCATGATCATCACCACCACTGCTAACACTACCCTCGTACAGAGCTGTACACTGCTGCTTCTAAAAAGAGAACTCCACCTCTTTCTCCTCCTTTTCTATATCTCCTCTTCACCTGAACCTGATTAGTTAATTAAGTGAAGCAGAGACGGGGAAAGAGTGTGGAAGGGAAGGAAAGGAAAGGAAAGGTAGTAGTCGGTACTGTGCTTCAGATTTAAGGAGTACAACTACTACTACTACAACTACTGCTCACCACTGAACTTCTACTTTTGTTGTTGTTGTCTTGCTGCTGTTGATTGCAGTTATCAGGAAAGAAGAAGAAGAAAAGCGACTTCAACTTCTCCAAGAGGTTAATAAAGTTCTGACTGCCGATCACTCGTTCACCAGCTCAGTCGCCGGCGGTCGTCGACGGTCAACTGCTTTATTATTAAATAAGCTCTTTAAATAGGTTCATCACCTCCTTCTTCTCATCTCCTCATTCTAATTACTTCAGCACTATTTAACCGCAGTGGAAAGAACGAAACGAGCTCATTCGAGCAGCAGCACATTTGCTAATGGGTAGTTGGCCAACTGAGGCAGATGAGGCAATTACTCTGATTTGCTCTGCTCAGCTCTCTAATACGATTACTGAGAAAAAAAGGAGCAACCTTCGTTGATGTAACTGGGGTAGCTGCCGAAGAGAAAAAGAAGATGATGAATAATTTCCCAGCCGTCCGTCTTTCTAGCTACCAAGACAACAAACGCTGCTGTAATTCACCGCTGAGCAAATAAAGCATGGCCTTCTCCTTCTCCTAGTGTGCTCACCTACTTTCTTTTTTACCAAAAACTAACAAACACAAAACAAAGCAAAAAATGGACCTAGTGTGGCTGGCCTCGCAAAACTGCTCCCACTGGGCCAGCTACGAGATCATGGCCAGTCGACCTGACTTTGAGGCCATCCCGCCGCGCCTGCACGTCTTCGTCATCCTCCTCTACTCGCTGACGGCGGCCTTCGCCCTCCTCGCCAACCTCCTCACGCTGGCCGTCCTCCGCAACAGCAAGCGGACCTCCCGCAACCTCGCCAAGTACCTGATGAACCTGTCCATCGCCGACCTGCTGATGGCCGCCACCATTCCCTTCACCTACACCAACTTCATGTACGGCCGCTGGTACTACCACCCGGTCAGCTGTGCACCGGTCAAGGCGCTCGAGTTCTGCAGCGTCTTCATCAGCTGCTACACCGTAAGTGGAATCGAGCAGAGTTTTAGAACTGGGCGCTTTTCAAAAGGCAAAAAGAGCACGCAGATTAGGAACTCCCAAAGCGATAGCTCAAATAGTTAGGATCTGAACAGGTTTCAAATGTTTGGTTTGGTAAACAGAAAAATGGTGCCACTTACCCTGGTTTAGTGCTGTTGTAGAAATCCTAGGAGTTTGCATTCCGTCCTGTTCTTGTGTTGTATTAACCTGTAGTAACGTATTGAATCCTCTGTTGGTGCATCATCCTTGGCAGCTGATCGCCATCGGCATCGACCGCTACATCGCCATCAAGACGCCCATCCGCTCGAAGACCCGCCTGGTCAATCTGACCAACTTCATCCTCAGCGGCATCTGGCTGCTCGGCCTGGCCCTCGCCGCCGCCGTCTACCAGATTTTCGAGGCGGTCGAGGTGAACATCTGCGGGCGGCGGCTCTTCGTCTGCCAGCACACTCTGCCCGACCTGCGCACCGAGCTGGCCTTCGCCCTGGGCAATTCGGCCACCATCTACCTCGTTCCAGTTGTGGTCCTCTCCTACGTCTATTCAAGCATGGCCCTGGTGATGTTCCGCCGCGACGTGACCAGCACCAGCGCCTCGATGATGCTCCGCCAGCAGCGCCGCAAGGTGATCAAGATTCTGATGGTCGTCGTGGCCACCTTCGTCCTCTGCTGGTCGCCCCTTCAGCTGTACAACCTGCTGGCCATCGCCTCGCCCTCCACGCGGAACTTCAGCACTGAGCAGCAGCTCAACCGCTACGTCTACCTCTACTTCGCCTTCCACTGGCTGGCCATGGCGCACAGCTGCCTCAATCCGGTCATCTACTCCTTCATGTCCGCCAGCTTTCGGGTAAGTTTTCAGAGGAGAGAAGAGAGTGTTGTGTTGTTGAAGAAAGCTGTACAGTTTGAGCTTTTGTTTACCTTTTTTTCTTTTTCTTTTCTCAGCAAGACTTTATGCACCTTTTCTGCCGCGGCCGGACGCTCTCGCAGGTCTTCACTGGATCGTCGGTTCGAAATGGCACCGCTAGTACTGCAGCCACGGCTGCTGTTGCTGCTCTGGGAATGGGAGGCGGTGGATCGGGAAAGTCCACTGGCCGCTCTACCACGGTGACGTACCTTGATAACTGATTCATTGATAACTTTATACCTCTCTTAGCCTACTTATCAGTAGTCGTAGTCGTTTGTACATAGATGACGATATGTCCCCCCAATCAATACTCATAGTCAAATACGCTGTACATTAAAGTGTGTCTTTATTTATCAATCAAAACAGAAGAGAGACAGCAGACTGCTGGTGAAGAAGGCTGCTGCCAAATTGGACTTTGCCGCAAGGTGAAAGCTTTTCAAATTAGAGCGTGAATTGGCAAGTGAGGAAAAAGAGAAAGAGAGTGTGTACAGTAAAGTGATTGGAAAAGCGAGATGCGGCTGAATTTAGAACCAGGTGAAAACATGTGGCGTGTTCAATGTGAAACGCAGAAAGGGAAAACGAGTAGAAAAGGTAAGTAGTAGTGCAAACTGGTTAAAGTAAAGTTGAGACCTCCTCCTCCTCCTTTTCGGCTGTACGACTTTCCCGTAGCAGCCGGATCACTCCTCAATGGAAAGAAAGAGTTGGATCACTCTGAATCGAACTCTCCGAGCTGCCCACCACCGCTGGAGGGAGCCAGCATCCACGAAGCTCCACCGCTTCGCTTTCCAGGAAAGTCCAGCCGTCGGGCGTGGCAGTTATCGCAGAAGGGCGACTCCTTCTTCACCTCCTCCTTGTTGATATTCCCGTACAGGTACTCATCCTCAGCTCCTCCTCCTGCTCGCAGCAGACTGATGCGTCCTCGCATCAGCTCTCGAAGCATCCTCACCGCCATTGCAGGTGATAGAGGAGCTTGCTGCTGCTGCTGCTGCTCCAAATTCCAAACGGGAAAAAGGACCTCTTCTCGGGGCCCTCGCTTTCCCACCAGGTAACTGGGCGGTCGGGCCTTGCAGTTCTCGCAGAAGGGCGCCTCCTTCTTCAGCTTGCTCGGCTCGGCAGAGTCCGCCGGCGCGGCTGTGATCGACTGAAGGAGCACACTGCAGGCCGACAGAGCCAGCAGAAACAAAGGTACAGCGAACTTCATTCTGCTCAAACTCCTACAATTAGAAGAAGTAAAAAAGAAATTAGAAGTTGTAATAAACAGCCAAAAACGTGTACTCACCTGACTCTTGCTGACTTCAGTCTGTGTCTTCAGTTAATCTGGTGATAAAAGTCACTTTTACGACTTCAGCACAGTTTTACGGTCGTCTCTGAGTGAGTGTGTTGATGTTTGAGGGTTAAAGTTGCGCTTGGCGATTT